GTTTGGTTTCTTTTGTTTTCGGTCCCTGGTAGTATCCGAGAGTATGATTCAAGGAATTTTTCTTTCTCATTTCCATGTTAAAGCCTCCAGCTGCTATTGTGGGCCAGTCATGAAAGAGTGCCCGAAAATTATCTTTCCATGACCATGTGGCAAGCCATGTTCGAAAGAAAGACCGAGCTACGCGATGAGATGCTAGCTGAAATCTGGTCATTCTCGTGTTGCGCCTTATCATAATTAACACGTGCTCATGATGCTTAAGACTTATATTCTCTATTCGTAAATCAAAGTTATCCAAGGTGATGATCCCGACCCGCAAGGCCCAATGCCCACAGCTTCGACACATCGCGGGACTTTCGTCGGTACTCTTCCAGATGGAACTTCCTTGCGTATTATATGACTGTGGCCTCTTATTACATTTCATAACTCTTCCGTGTCCGTACAACTAAGTTGTATCGTGTTGAGAACGGGAGAGTTAATTTTCTAAGTCACTGCTCGAGGGGAGGAGCTGCTCAATGAAGACAAGCTCCATCTCGGCGTACTGCAGTAATCTTGCCAGAACTGTGAGAACATGCAGCTGACTCGTCGCAAGCTTGCTTTGGCAGAGTATAGCTTTAAAGCATGTCATGTATTGCATCAGAGTGGCTGTATCCATGTTTCTGATGCTATAGCGCTTTCTCAGAGTTTGTACAGTACTATCATCGCGAAGTACTCTTCCAGTTCGCACGCACTCTCGCGTAATGGCAGGCTACGCTCCCGCGCATGACATCCAGGATGGTGGGCTCAATTTCGAGGAAGCATGCGCGCATGCATCTGGACAAAAAATTCAAGACCCAGAAAGCAAGCCCATCCAATCGGACCGCGCCGTAGGTGATTGTCAAGTCTCAGACCTTCCCATCCGCCATCTCGAGCCTACCGCAGCCAAGATCGAACAGCTTGCTGACGTTATCAGCAGTCACCCACTCGACGTGACGCCTGCCATGTCCGATCAAATCTACAAGCTGTGCTATGACCGTAAGCACGGCCAGCTTCCTGCGCCGTTTTTCCTTAGCATCCTCACCAAATGTTCCCTACACCATCCAATTTGTGATTTTCCCCGCCGCTACGCCTGAGGATGCTGACCCGAACCATGCCTACTACCACATCGTGAAGCACGTCCATCTTCATCGCAACAAGGTTGCTTCCAAGGATTGCTTCAACATGTGTAGGGGCAACGCAGTGCGTTTCGAGTGGGACAAACGTGTTCGGCATGGCTCAGCAGCTCTCAACTTCATGATGGATCGAATGGGTGGCCCACAGCTACGCCATTGGATCATCAAGCCCAAGCAAAAAGATATTCACCTTAGATCAACAGCAGCGCGCGGCAGGCTATGACTTCATCCGCACCTTAGGGTCCAGTTGCAATAATCGGAACCAATTCATGGAGTGGACTGATGAACAAATCCATACTCCTGGCGGCAAGTTCGAAAACTGGCCCAAGGGGAAGGTCAAGGAGGCCCTTCGCAACTACATGAAGGGCCGGCAGAACGCCAAGACTGTAGAGTTTTGGCCATTTACCTTCAAGACTTTCGTGCCATGGTTTTTGGCTCGGGTCCTCACCACGATGTTGTCCACCATGCGCCAACATGCCATCACGTGGATTCGCCGTGCTCGGACAAGCAAATCCGTTGGCTCCAAGACCCTCCTCTTCATGCAGTCAAAGTACGAGATCGATGAGGCCCATCGCGCAGATCTCGTTCGTTCCAGTGTAACAGCAAAGCACCTCGATTTTTTCAAGGCTGCGCCAGGTGTCTTTGACGATGGTATGTTGCAACGCATGGAAACGTCCTTCCTCAACGCGTTCCTGAACCCATCCGTCACGCATCTGGTTTTGTATTTTGTTTTGCTTTGATCTTGTATGATCTTGTGAAATCTTGTAGAGGTATCCTTACTTTTCTGTGTAAAACCATATAGCTAAGCATCTCAGGAAGAAGGCGCGTCTGTGTGGGCTCGGTACTTGCCAGCGCAGTGGGATCAGGGGTCGGGGCGACATGACTGCAACAACCTGTACGACAGGGACACTGATGAGAAGGTCTACAAACAAATGAAGGCTTCATGTTTGTGGCAGAACACTCACGAGGACTTCTTGAAGATCATCAAACCCTCATTCTTTGCTGTTGATGAGGATGAGGATCTTGATGCTATCTTGGCCAAAACGCGCCTTATCGTCCTACTTCATCCAGTGGGACTGAAACCAACCCAAGGATCTCATGGCTTCATTACAGCGCGCCATCTTCAAAAGCACAAGATGAACCCGCATCTCCATGAGTGTCCCCCGTGGAGGATCTCGTATGGTCCCAAGAACTTCCCCGCCGTCTCCTACATGGTGAGCGCGTACCGCGGAGTTCAACAGTGCACAGCGGTGGCTTCAACATGTTTGGCGAACGATCTGCGACGTAAGATGTTTCAAGCTAGAAAACCCTGCGCTAGAATAAGTTACACGGAAATAGATAGAATATGTATTTGTTGACAACCTAAACCTAGAGCATAAATATCTAAAATCTACACGTATTTTTGGAGACCTAAAAGCCCAGAGCAGAAGTCTCCGAATATACACGTATTTTTTTGAAACGTAAACCCCAGAGAATGAATTTCTAAATCCATACCTATATTTTCTGAAAGCCTAAAGCCTAGAGGGTAAATCTCTGAAATTTAAGCGTATTAAATGAAGGATACATACGCGTTTTGAAATGTTGATGTTTCCGTAAATTGGTATAGGTCATCGGAGTCCCGTCATCCAGAACTTCTACCTCAGCCCGTGCATCTTGCGAAGGTCAAGCAGGAAAAAGTCCAGCGCGTGTTCCGGTCTTTGAAAGCTACCCCGCTCACCGCCGTCGAGCCCGATTCCCCGTCGCCCAAAAACATTCACGCAACGTCGTCCTCTATGTTGCCCCCATCGAAGCGCGTCAAAGGCCCAGTGAATCCCGATCCGGGTCTTGTTTCTGGTCCAGATTCGGGTGATAAAGACGTTATGCCCCAGATCGGCCATCGACCTGATGAACTGGAGCAGAACTCGAGAGACTCATGGATGAGCAGGATCAGTAGGGTGATGTCATGGGTACTAAGGCCTGAGAGGCAATAGCAGTAGGGCATTTATTGTGCTACATTCGCAATGAGTTTCATGCATAAGGTGTATCGCGACATGCTTTCGTAGAATCGTGCATCGTTACCTTGTAAGCACAGTATTTTGATGCTAGGACGGTCCCTGCAACTCGCATTTTGCCCCCTCGCTGCGCACAGCGAAAAAAGTACGAAAGTTTAAGAATGCTTGCAATATACATTCTGCACGCGGTTCTTTGTCTTGTGTTACTGCTAGATTTTGCGGCTTAAGGGAAACAGAAACATTATCGACCATGGCAAGCTATCGAGACTGGATAGCATTTTGCGAAGCCGTGCTCGCCGCAAACCTCATCAACCGCACAGAGTTCCTCTCGGTCGTTCGCTGCAGTCGCGTTTGCAGCGTAGAAGGTTTACCGGACACGGATGCTACTCGCATTTTCTTCGCGTGTCAAGCTCTTCGTCTTTTACCTCCACGGCGCAGCTGCTCTCATTGTATGGCACCGTACGCACTCTACTTCAAGTTGGAGATACACGTCCAACGTGCTCGCGAAGCACGGTCGCCCTCAACGCGATACAAGTATGGCTCTGGGGCGCGGTGCTCCACGGTCATCTGCGTACTCACTTTATGTTTCGAGTTCTCAACTCAATCATCCAGGCGACGCCTCCGACGGGAAACCCCGTGGTCACAAAGAGATGGTGCACAACATTAACTTCACGGGCGTTCGTAAAGGCGATATCTTCGTCAGCGATAAATGGAGGGCTACCGTCTCCGCCATGAAGTGCTTGCGCAAGGACAAGAGCTTCACTGAGCAGCAGCTGCGTCACGAAATCGTGAACAACTCTATTGGAGAAATTGCAAACCAAAATGGCTTCAGCACAAACGCCATTGAGTGGAAGTGGTCTGTGATTAAAAGGGGGATTAAACAGAAGATGTCTGGCACCTTGGCGACGCACTCCAATCGCCCAAAATGGCCCTCATGATTGATCAGTTTCAGGCGAGATCCCTCTTCAAGGCACTGGACTCGCACTCTTTCGACAGAGGCCATACGCACGCTGTTTGCTTTCATGACATAGTTCAGCTTTTCCGTGTTGGCTGAGGTTTAAAGTTCGTTCAAGTCGTGCAGGACAGTACCTCCCAAGTGCTATACTGAGTTTTGTCCGGCCGCTCTGGTGCAAAGAAATGTGAGAGAATGCCGTTACATGCAGCCATGCGTCCACCGAATGTTTGTGCATGCAGAGAAGTTCATCAGATTGACTCGCAGCATCCAGGTGCTCAAGCGAAGCTGAGTATTCTAAATGTTCTGTGTTAAGGGGTTATAGGTTCAGTAGCTGAAAGAGGCACTAGCTTCGGTATACACATGCGAGAAATGTGTGAAAACGCAACGGGCATTTTCCCGCCCGGAACCATGATTATAGTATATTATAATTCAATATATTGTATTATATTGTATTATTTATATCCAGCCCTAAACCCCAAACCCCTAAACACTCGGCAATAGAAAACCCAGGTAAAGACGGTCGTCTTCAAGTGCCACGACTGCTCCCAAGTGCATGCCGAGGATCTTTCGGGCGAGGCCATCTTGCTTCTTTAGGGTTTAGGCGTTAGCTTTTAGGGTTTAGGCTTTGGATTTAGGGTTCTGTTCTTTGGATTTTTCAAGGGGCGGGCTTCCAAAGTTTAGAGTTAAAGTCTTGAGCTTAAAGGGCTTCAGATTTCTAAGGACTTCAAGCCCATGACTTACTTGGAGGGTCAGGGGGACTTTGTAAGTAGGTTTATAAGGTTCAGGGGTTTAGGTTTATAGGGTGTAGAGTTTAAGTTTTATAGGGTTTCGGGTTTAAGGTTTTTAGGGTTTAGGGCTTATAGGGTTTAGGGTTTAAGGTTTACAGGGTTTAAGGTCTATAGGGTTTAGGATTTAACATTTATGCGGTGAAGGGTTTAAGCTTTATAGGGTTTAGGGTCACGTTGATTTAGTAAGTAGGTTAATGACGATAAGTAGGCTTACTAAATGGGTTATACGGGTTATTAACTTAGTTACTAAGCCCCCCTGGGCCTCCAAGTACCTACCTTGAACTCCAACTGCCCACGGTTTAGTTGTAAGCATCCCTGAAGTAGTATGCACAACCCATAAAACTGTAGGTATCTGGGCTTGCACGGAAACCCCAAGCCCTAAGCCCTAAACCCTAAACCCCTAAACCTTGAACATTAGCTTTCAAGTTTAGGCTTTCAGGGTTAAAGGGTTTAGGGTTTAAGGGTTTGGGGTTCAGGGTTTAGGGTTGGGCTTAGTAAGGACTTCAAGCGGCTTAGGGTTTAGGGTTTAGGATTGCGGGCTTAGCATTTCCAATTCAGGGTTTTGATTACATGATTTCCATACTTACAGGTCCTACGGCGCTTGCAAGTAGAGTGAAATATGTGAAATGTGACCCATATGGGAGTCGATCCATGCCACTAATAACCAGACAGCCAGACCTATAACTACAAAATAACCTCATTGGATCGAACATGTGAGTTTTAATTTCTGTTACACAATAAAATTGAACCTTAGACCCTCCACCCTACAGCCCAAATCATGCCCTGAACCGTCAGTTCTAAACAATCAAACCACCAATTCGGGTACCAACTATATGTTCCCCCTGGTTCAAGGGCCTCAAAGGGTGGGATGAATATAGGGGGTCTGTAGGATCCTTATTGTAGCTTACGCCAACTTCATTCATCTCACCTCTTGCACTTCACTTCTTGTGTATGGATCCCTCAAAAAAGGATTTTGATTTTTTGAAAGCTGCATATACCCTTGCCCCCTTAACTCCAAACCAGAGGCCCGAAATTTTAAACCCAAAATCTAAAACCTAAAGCCCTAAAACCCTAAACCCTAAAACCTATAGGTCAGCAGATGAAGGCCCAAACATTCCCATACTCTCAAAGCCCTACATCCCTTCAACCCTTATCATCAACCGTTTACTGCCTACATGAGCTAGAGTCTGAACTCCTTAAAGGGGGTTATATGGGGGACGATATAGGGCAGTACTGTAGGGCTTATTAGGGGAGATAGCAGGAGTTTAGATTATAGTTCAATATACCCTTTGACACAAGTAGGGGCCAAGAACTTACAAAGTGTTTCTGGTTCCCTGTAATCCTGTGGCAGAAGGGTTCCTCAAAGAAAGACTTCAACGTGATATTCTGAATTTAGGCCCGTAAAGTTTATAATCCTCAGAATTTCCCATATGAACCCGTTTCTATTGCATTTTCCATTTTCTTTTCCACTTGATTCTCCATTTAAGGGGGTCATGTATCCCCCCCTGAGCCAGACCGGTGCAGTATTGCCCTTGAGCCCCTGTTCTCTAAACCCTAAACCCTAAGCGCCGAACCCTAATAGCTTTGAAGACGACGCCCGCAAGCTTCAGGTTCGTGACCGCGCGCTCTCCTCCTTTGGGCCGAGGTGGGCTGTTGAGGGATTGGGGTGCGGGTTTAGGGTCTAGAGATTGGCTGTAGGGATTAGGGATGAGGCATGATGGGGCTTTAGGATTTGGAGTTTAGGTATTTGGGGCTAGGCTTGGAGATAGGAGTTTCGAGTTTAGGGTTCCAGTTTGGGGTTGTGAGGATGTGAGGGCTCGACAAAATTAGGGGTTTCATGGTCTGATAGTAGTTGCCGCAGTTGTCTTACGTAGGCTGGACTGGCAACGACCCTGTAGTCGTGACAGCAACGAGGCTGTGGATCCAAAAGCTCTCTCCCGTAGAAGTTAGTAAAGTAAGGCTTGGCATGCCTGCAAGGTTTTCGGGATTGTCAAAAAGGGAGATTCGGATTGTTGGCATCTTGATCAAACTATTGCGCCTAGTAGTCTTATTACCATCACCACTCCCGGCTCCTGATTAGAAAGGCCGTCTTAACAACAATAAGAACCCAAAAACAGCAGAACAGAAGAATGAATAATGCGATTATACATCGAAAAATCCCCTGAACCAGTCCCAGACCCACTTTAGGACTTTAGGAGCAACCACGTACCTGGGCCCTGACACAAGCTCCCGAAACTAAGCCCTAAACCCTAAACGCAGAGTAGCTGTGTATGAGTAAGAGTGAGAGGAAGCAGAAAGTGGCAGATTCTCAATAGGTTTAGGGTTCAGGGTTTACGGTTTAGGAGTGGTTCTAATAAAGTCCTTGCAAAAACATCCAAAACTAACGACTCTGATGTTTTGCTATCATTTTTTAGAAGTTTTCCGTAATGCCATATATGTGAAGAGAGATCCTCCCACACAAGGTCTGTCAGGTGTAACTGAAAAACTCAGGATTCAACCTTAAATACCTCCCTCATGCGCTTTGATAAGCGAATCCGTTTTCAGAATCAGTTCTCCGAGTCTCGTTTTAAATGCAGCGAGTCTACCCAAAACTCCTGAAATGCGTTTAAGCTGGTCTTCTGACGAAGCAAAACCTTCCTTTTCTTTAAGAACTGAGGCTTCAAGATTCCAGCTCTAGTTTTTGGGAAGCTTAGGATTTGAAACTAAACTTCAACAAACCAATTTTCTGAGCTCCTGGCCAATAAAAAAGCTTCCTGCCATTCAGCAGCAGTTTTCTTTTTGTTTGCTTATTCTGCCTAATTTGGTCGCCCACAAAACTCTGGCCAAACAAATGTTTAAACCCAGGGCGTTCATTCAGCAGGAGCACACAGCATTGGACGTATTTTTGACTGTCGTAGTACTTTTACTCTCAGACGAGTATTAATCTTGCTACTATCATCCTGTGTAATATTTATTGTTATTGCTACTGCCATGCTCCCGTCTACTACTTTTATTATTACCTTTCCTTTTCCTGCTGCTGTAGTAGGATGTGCCGGGTATTTTCTGAACTGTTCGGCTTCTTTTCCGGAGAGGGCTACTATTCTTAGCACCAGAAGCCTCAAAAAAGGAAGCCCAGGCACTGAACAGGCTTTCTGGGTTTAGGTTTCGGAAAAGCGAAGTCTGATTGCCCTTAAGCCCTGTATAGCCCTTATCAAGCCAGAAACAACACAATATAAATTGGGCCCCCAAACTTACCC